GAAAAGACCTCTAAGATCATCAAGTCCAACCATGAAAGATGGGACAGGGACGGGGCTCTCGCAGTGCCATCCCCCTCCACTGACATCCATCCCACTGCCCTGGCATCGAGAGCTGTGGCATCACAGACACCCTGGTCCCACTGAGCATATAAATAACCCACAGGGGTGCATGACAGCTCCCACCAAATGTTACAGGGAAACCTGAGCTGCTGACGGAGGGGAAACAGTGCTGGCAGCAAAGCTGCAATGAGCTGGCTCGATTCTACCTTAAGCAAGAGCTGGTTGTGTCCCAACTTTACCCTGTCTGGGCCATAAAAATCTGGGGCCAATCTGCAGAGAGGGAATGGGCCTGGGATGCTGGGCAAGCTGGTACTTACAGGTCAAACACCAAGAAGAAGAAGGTGCTGGATTCATAGCTGTCCTTCAGCTGGACTGCAATAAAACAGGGGGGCTGTGAGCACAGTGTAGAGCATGTTCCTGTCTGTTAACAGGCTAAAAGTGCTGATTTAATTGCTAATAGAATTAATGAAGAGTTGATCTGCACTAGTGTTTTGGCTGGGAGACAGCATGGGCACTGCTGGTGTGTGTGTCGAGGCAGAACAAACAACGCTCTGAGCAGGTGCCCTGTGTCGTGTTACGACCATCAGAGCTCTGACCTTCCAGGGATTTCATCCCTGAAACCCTTCCTGGGGGACACACTGGAGGATTAAACAGGGCAGAAAACCCCCTTGCCCTGACTTACTGACGTTGGGGTGGCCTGAGACCTTGCGGAGGATGTCGATCTCCTTGGTGGTGGCTTCCCGCAGCTCCTGCACCTCCTTGGGGGAGATGTTTCCCGCCGTGATGTCGATGATCTTCACGGCATATTCCTGCCTGGTGGTTTTGTGGATGCACCGACGGACGACGCTGCTCACCCCCCTGCCAGGGACAACACAGACAGGATGGGGGTTCCACTCCTGCCCACCCAACCCGACCCCACGGCCGTGCCATCGGCACCTGGGCCGCTCGGTATTTCATGCACGAGCGGGTCTCGCTCTGTCGCCCTGTCTCGGTGGGACAGGAGGTTTTTGAGCTGATGGAAAGTGCTGTTCCATGCTATTTTTAGCCCCATGCTGCTGTGGGCCCTGTTTGTATCAGATTCGCAGGGAACACTGTTCCTCTCGGGTACTGGAATGCGTGAAACCAAAACAAGCTGTTTGCCAAGAACAGGCTTTACCTGCCCAAAACCTCCTTCGGCTCATATTTTTCATAAAACTCCTTGGATGAGTTCCAGTCTGGTAGCTCTTCTTCCTTGGTCATCTCTGGCTCCTATCTGGCAGCACTCTGGGCTCGTCTGCAGGCACAAAGGGACTGCAAGGAGAAAAGAGTGAGGACAGGCACTGGCTGCCCCCGGGGCTGGGACCCTTGATGCCTTCTGGAGGAGAAAATACTGAGGAGGAAGGAGGAGGAGGAGGACAATCCTGGACCAAAGACCAACAGGATTATTTTTCTGGTTGGAAAAGCCAAGCTTTGCCCTTGGGACCTTGTGGAGATCCCACTGAGAACAGGAGAAATCCCACTGGATTCCCCCATAGCCTGGCTGTCCCAAGGGGCAGAACCAGCCTGGCTGGGGCAAGGCTTTGGGGAGCACTGCAGCACCTCAAAACCTGATCCCTTCCCCACACCCAGCTCACAGGGCAAGTAGCAACCTTCAGGATCATTACCCAATGCCAACACCACCCAAAGTCCCTTGCCAAGCGCTTTTTTTTCTTTCCTTTTTTTTTCCTTATTATTTTTAAGACGACAAAATTATCTTTGCCTGAGAACAAGGAGGAAAAAATAGTGTTTAAAGGGAGGGGAAAAGGACTAAGGAGGGAAAACACGTGGTGAGAGAGCCAGCGAAGCAGCAAGAGGGGCTCAGTGGGTCAGTGTGCAGGTGGGGAACTGAGTGCTGTGGGGTCAGTCAGGGCCAAGCCAGCATGAGGACAGCAGCTGAACAAGCTTCCTCAGCCACTTGTGTGCAGCTGCCAGCAGGCTCCAAAACTCCTGTAAGGCTCTTATCTCATTTCTTTTTCCTATTTCGGGGTTGGGTTTTTTTGCCGGAGGAGGAGCGGTTTGACAGTATTTTGGAAGGGGTGTGGGATATCATCAGTACTCCTGAGCCTTAATTTTTACTGGCTTTTCCCTTTAAGCTCTGGGAACTGGATGTTTTCAGCTTCTTTCTGTGCCCATACACGGAGTCCAAGCAATTAGGATGGAAAGCAGCTCTTACAAGCTTGGGCAGCAAAACTGTCACTTTGGGGTGACAGTTTGTTGCTGGGCAGGGGAGAGAGGCAGGAGATCCCCAGTACTGCAGGCTTTTCCTCACCCCCCCTCTCCAGGGCACTGGCATTTCTAAGTACATTTAAATCTCATTATCAGTGTGTATCTGTCCTGACCTGGTTGTAAAGACCGATGGGGTGTTTTGGGTGTCTGGCTGTTGCTGCTGGGAGTGATGTCTAACACGGGCTGTTCTAAACAGCCGTAAGTTCGACTTCATTTATAAAATTTTAGCCGTTGGAAATATTACAAGCAATGCCAAAGCAAGCCTGAGCTGGAATTATAAACGAGAGGCGGGATCAGGAAGTAGGGAAAATAAAATATCTCTGAGGTGGAGGAGAACCAACAACTTTGATTCTTTTTGAAGTGAAAAATCCACATCCCGGAGGGGTTGGTGTTGTGGGGAAGGGCTGGAGGTTGGGGGGGTGCATCCGTGGAGCACTGCCGGGAGAAGTGTGGGATCCATGTGCCGCCTTCTCCCGGGACGAGAGAGCCCGGGAGTTTGTGCATAACACCCTGGAATTATATAAGCAGCCGGTCCACGGCACTAACGGGATACGCTGGGACTGCAGGGAAGGGGCAAAGGGGGGAATTTTCTCTCTGGGGGAGACGCGCCGGGCATCGCCCCCCGCCCGCAGCTGCCACCGGGGAGGGGGTCCAAAGTTCGCCTCCATCGATAGCAAATAACGTGCAAATACCGACCGGGATAAACCTGGAAAGCTCAAGCTAAACTCAGCTTTTAGGCCGGTTTTTAGCGCTGGAGCTCCCCCTTCTCGCCCCCGGCCGAAAACCGGCTCCAGCAGCGCCGCCGACCCCCCTCCAAGGGAGACGGGGGGGTTTCTACCGCGACCCTCCCGCCGCCGCACCCGAGACAAATAAAAACGCTGAAAAAACAGGAGCTTTGCGGGGCAGAGACACCCACCCCACACACCGACACACCCCACCACCACACCACCAGCCCCTTTTCCGCCGCCCGAACGCGGCCGGTCCCCCCCGCCCCGGCGGGGCCTCACCTCGCTGAGGGCGGCCCGGGCTGGGCCCAGGCCTGGCGCCGGGAGCCGCCGCCGGAGCCGGGGCTCGCGGGATCCGAAGCGCCGGGATCCGAGCGCTCAGGGCCGGGATCCCGCGACGCTCCAGGGCCGCCCGCCGCCGCCCGGCCGCGGATAAAGCGCAGCGCGAGTTGGCACGGCGGGCGCCGGGCGGGCATGGCCGGGCAAGGGCGAGGGGGGGCCCGGGGGCCGCCCCGGAGCTTGCGGGACTTCCCGCCGCGCCGCCCGGTTTAATTAACCCTTGGGCGCCTGAGCCCCGCGGGGCCCCCGCGCCGCTCGCTCTCCGCCGGGGTGTTGCCCGTGCAGGCGGCTGCGGCATCCGGGATTCCCCCGGTGCGTGGCCAGGCCCGCCCGGGGGCAGCGCTGCGGGGATGGAAAGGGCGGGCGGGGGTGGGAGCGTGGAGTCGTGGAATTATCAGGGTGGGAAAGGAGCTTTGAAGTCATCCCGTCCAGCCGTGCACCCAGTAACCCCTAAACCACATCACGCAGCTCCTCTCGAACACCTCCAGGTATGGCGACTCCACCACCTCCCTGGGTAACCTGGTCCAAGGTGACCTGACCACCCCAACAATGAAAAAAGTTTTTATAGTATCTAATCTGAATTTCCCGTCTCATCTTAAGGCCATTTCCTCTCACAGCTTGGCCCAAACTGGTTTTATTTCTGTTGCACCTCGGAAGTGAGCTGGGAGCTTCATCAGCAGAGGCAAAGCTACTCGTGTCACCAGCCCTCATTCCTCTTGTGTGAGGTGACCCTTCCCCCAGGAGTTGGACTTGATGATTCTGATGGGTTCCTTCCAACTCAGTATTCTATGATTTTGAACACTGATTTAATCCTTTCACTTCCAGGAACTGCAGATGAGAAGCGAAGGGCTTTAGGAACAGGCAGAATATCCAGCAGCATAAAAGTGGTTCAGGAAAAACAGGTCATGCCATAAAAGGTATTTTTATCAGAAATTGCACTTTTCAGAGCAGGGTTATTGCCCACCACACTCCCATGTAGGAGTACACTCTATCCAGGGTTTACCAGAGAAGTGCAGCAAGGTGTTTACTCTGCAAGCTCCAAGGATTTGAGCAAGGCATGAGCTGGTTGCTCCCTCCGATGGAAAGAGGAGGGTTTGCATTTTGCACCAGTAAATACTCTTAAAATAGTGATGATTGTTATTCTTGGTTCACACAGCAGCACTGGCTTTGCCACCTGCCCGAGCCAGGCAGGAGGGAAAGGCCACAGGACCATCCTCTAATCTTTCAGCCCTCAGCTCCTGTCACAGGATGAAGGAAACACCTACAGCTTCTGTGTTACTGGGAACTGGAGTGTGATGCTCAGAATCCCTTGAATCTGAACACAGAGCTTGTTTTTAAGGTATACAGGAGGTTGCTGGAGGACTGACATCCACTGTGCAGAACAGTGTAGAGTCAGCCACAGCCTTCCCTGTCACTACCCATTTCCATCAGCAGAAATTGTCTGTGGGGTGCAAATGCTCAAGGAGGAGATACCTGGCAGGCAGAGGTAACCACTGAGCTACCAGCATTCCTAAACTCCTGCAGCTCCAGCCCTCTGGGCACCCTTGCTGGCAGCACAGCTGCCAAAATCAGTTCTCACCTCGTCACCCTTCCAGTTCAACTCCAACACTCAAACTCAACAAGCACAGATGGTACTTCTGGAGAGAGAAGTTTATTCATACACCATATCACATATATCCAATACAAGTAGCAAACCAGTGAACCCACATTAGCTCATTCTGCTTTTATTGTTCCTTCTTCCATTTTGTGCTAAATTAATCTGCGGCTGTTTGTTAAGTTGTATCACAGAGGCAGCTATGGCAGGATGAGTGTGAATATATGAACTAACAAGATATCAGACAGCTTTAAACTTTATTATTGAAGCTTTTTTTTTTTTTTCATTCATAGGTCAGTTCTTGAAAGATGGTCTTCAGCAGCCTTGTCCTGCAGGCTTAGGCCAAACCTGCAAGGTAAGGAGTTATGTCAGTAAGTTTTGGATCCCTGAATGGCAACTGGTTTTCCTTGTCATAAAGCAGATTTGCTAGGATTTGCTTCCCCTCATCCATTTGCTGGGACATGATGAACTGCAGACACCAGCAGAGCACCCTGGTGTGCAGCATCCCCACCCTCCCAGGTCAGGATGGTTTGGCTGTTGTCCTTCCTACAGGCTCACAGTGCCCTGCTGATTCTCCAAGTGTGCTGCTGCCACTTTCCCGTCAGCTTCAATCCATGCACCAGCACAAAACTTCAGGAATTCACCCCCTCTCCACCCCATCACCTCCAGCTACATGTACAGGACCAAAGCAGGAAGCCCAAGAGAACAGCAGCTGCTTTACCTGACTTTGGTGCACCTGCCATCACTCCCCATTCCTCACCAGACAGATCAAAACCCCAGGACATCATTCCCACAATAATTCTGCTGATTAGCCCATTTAGTAGTTTACTGTCAGCACTGCCTACTTACCATTAGCAAACCTGCACTGCTTCAGCACCTCGCTGAAGCCCTCACACAGCTTGAGGTCAGTCTGGTTCTGTGCACACTCCAGGAATTGTTTGATCTCGTACTGGCAAGGACCAGCCTGCTGCTGCTGCTGGGCAGCCTGAGCTGCCTGGGGCTCCTGAAACAGCACACAACCCTGTAAGGGCCCTTCCAAGAGCCCCAGCTCAAAGCCAAACCACCCCCGTGCTGCTGGCTGAGGTTTCTTCCCTGTGTTTTAGTGAAAATGTTGCTTTTTAAATGGGAAAAAATATAATGGGCTGAAGTACAAAGTAAGTTTCCAGCAGGGGCATGACACATTCAGAGTAGTTTTTTAAGTGAGAAACATTTGGGTGATTTTGGATATGCTCAGGTAACTCTGAATGGCATCTGGGCAAAAAAATGTCTGAGCAGCACAAAAAGGTCTTGCAATAGATCTTACCATCATCAGACCTGGAACATGGAAGTCCTGCCTGAATAAGGGGAACACTACAGTAGAAAACAACACCCTGCCACAAGCATACATCACTTGTGCATCCTTCTGAGCTACTTTCAAGATACTCGTGGTGAGTGTGGTGGTTATCTTGGAGATTCAATTTAACTACAGACTATATATGATTATATATATAGTCTATATACAGAGAGATTATAATTTTATACCCTAGCTGTGACTTGTGAGGTGTTTTATGTCACCAGCAACTACCTCAGCCCGTAGGCTGATCTGTCAAGGCACTAGCAGTGTCCCGCTGTGCTTTCCCTCACCTGGTAAGTGATATCGGGCCGAGCAGCCTCGTGGCCACTCCCTCCACTGAACCCTCCGGTGATGGCGTG